ATTTTTAAAACGATTATTCTGACGATTATTTTATCGAATAGTCGACTATTCTAATGACTATTTAGAAAATTAATCTAATGATTATTTTTCTATTGCACAATTAACAAAAACCAGAAAATCTCAAATAAATTCCTCAAAAAAATTGATAAATTCTTACTGTAAGAGAATAAACACTACAGGCCTTCCATTTTGTATAACACTGCGTTTATTGTGTTGGTTGGTTATGTTCTGGTGACGTGTAGAACTTGGGAGTGCAGGCTGCTGCCTGAGAGGTGGTAGAAGATGGAGTGTCTCCATGCTGCTTTGTTTTGGTCACTTATGTGCGTGAGGCGAGTGGTGTTACGGGTTAAACCAAACTCAGGTGATATTTTACACTAAACCGAAAACCCACAACACTCTAAATGTAATGAAAGGGAGATCTACACCACAAAAAAGATGAACTCTAAACCAAAACGTAACAGCTTATCCCAACGCAAGAAGCTGTTAGCGAAGATGCTAACAGTAGCTTTACCAACATTAAGTTCAAGTTACCAAGTTTAAATAAACCAAAAACACCCAGCAGCAAACAGACCAGCACGGAGGAGAGACTGCTACCACCAAAACAGCTCTCCTCATGTCTGAAAGAAGCTCCTTAATGAAGGGAGAAGCGCTCCCGGTGATTTTCTACATCTGCGGTAGGCACGAAGCAGCGCATCTGACCCCGGAAGTTGTTGTCCGTTGCCGGGAGACGAAGGGGCAAAACAGGAAAATAATCTAGTAGTGGACGGACGTTGTTCCGGGTCTTCGGTATTTGGCGGAGATGTTAGTGAAGGCGGAGAAGAGGGCGAACTAGAGGAAAAACAGGCAGATTCCTCCTCTATTTACAAACTCCTGGGGATGCAACAAGTGGGCGCGGTGCGTCGACTACCGGATCTGACGTCGACAAATTTTTAGAATCGAGCCGTCGACTTCGTCGAGGCTTCGCTACAGCCCTAATTATCACCTGCCTCGTGTCATCTTGGGTTCCTGCATTTTGGGTCCTACAAACCTCGTATCGTGACAGAATGGACCGACCAATCAGGACCCGGATGTACACTTTTGATGGCGATTCGGATTCATGTCGGACTTTTATATTGGACGTGGTGAGATATTATGGCTTGGACATTATGGACACGGACTTGATAAGTAATATGGTGCTCCTCCTAAGGGGAAGAGCCCTGCAATGGGCCAGCCATTACCTAGAGCAAAATCCATTAGAAGAGCTGGTTTTTTGGGACTTCGCTGAGGATCTGCGAGACGCTTGCAGCAGCCCTACAAGCTCCCTCCTGTTGGTTGGGTTATAATCTATCAGCAAGCACCGTTGTAAGAGCTGCCTTCTCCGCATCTTCGAAGCGCCACACCTCCACATCTTCACCTGGTCCTGACAGCGCCACCACTTCCTCTCCGGTGGGCTGTAACTCGTCCTCTGCACCTGCTGACATCGCCCCCGCACCTCAGAGGAGTCGTGCTCGTCGCAGACGTCACCGCCATCACCCGCAGTCATCTACAGCCAGAGTTGTGCCGCCTGACCAAGAGGCCCCCTGCTCTGCGGCCAAAACCTGAGCTCATGAAACAGTCCGAAACCAGAGTTGTACCGCCTATTCCAGAGGCCCCATGGTCTGCAACCCAGGACTGAACCGAATAAATCATCAGACGCCAGAGCTGTGCCGCCTACCCAAGAGGCCCCTGCTCTACAACCCGTGTCTGAGTTTCTTCTGCCATCTCCGCATCCTGCTTTGGCGGTGGTCCCGGAGGACGCATCGCATCCGGTCCAGCCCGTCCAAGAGGCTCCGGTCCAGCCCGCCCAAGAGGGTCCGGTCCAGCCCGTTCACGACGCTCCGGTCCAGCCCGTCCAAGAGGGTCCGGTCCAGCCCGTCCAAGAGGGTCCGGTCCAGCCCGTTCACGACGCTCCGGTCCAGCCCTTCCACGAGGCTCTGGTCTCGAAGTTGACGCCTCCTGTCTCCAGCTCCAGCTCTGAAGTCGACTGCCCCGTCTCCTGTCTCGAAGTCTACGTCCCAGCCTCAAGTGTCCCAGTCTCTAGCGTCCCAGTCTCTAGTGTCCCAGTCACAGTCTCCAGAAACCTTTCCTCGTCCTCCTCCTCCAAAGCCCCCGATCCCCAGGGTTTCCTGGTCCCGCCTCCTGGTCCCCTGTCGCCGGCCTCCCGGGGTCTCCTGTTCCCTCCTCGCTCGCCCTTTTTGGGTTGTGTTTTGTTCGTTCCCTCCTCTCCCTCCATCTGGTTTTCTCGTGTCCTGTGTTGTCTTGGCTTGTGCTTGTTGTTGGTTGTTCGTGTATGGGCGTCTGGTATCCGCCCCTTAGCGGGTGGAGGGTGGGTGGGGGGGGACTGTCATGGTCTGCTTCTGTGTCTTCCTTCATGTCTCTCCTGATGTTTCTCCATCCCTCTCTAGATTCCCTTCTGTGTCTCATAGCGCCCTCATGTGTCTTTTGTCTGCATCTCAGTTACGTGTCTTATGTTGTTACCCTTTTAAATCATTCCTCCCAGGTCAGCTCCAGCCTCTTTGTCCCCAGCTCAGTGTGTGTGTGTGTGTGTGTGTGTGTGTGTCTGTGTGTGTGTGTGTGTGTGTGTGTTTCTGTTTTCCCAGTTAGATTATCATATTCACCTGTCTTCCCTCCAGCCCTCACTCCACACGCCTGCTGCCATTTTCCCTAATTACTCCTCCCTGTGTATATAAGCCCTGTCTTGTCTCTGTCTTGTGTCGGTCCATTGTGGTATTCTGTCAGCTCTGTTCTAGTCTCTAGTGTTTTGGTCTCTAGTTTTCATTTTGGACTTATTGGAGTTTTGCCGTCCAGCCCCTGTGGATTTATTCTGATTTTTTGGACTCATCCTTCAAAATAAAGGATTTTTCTTTAAATTATCACCTGCCTCGTGTCATCTTGGGTTCCTGCATTTTGGGTCCTACAAACCTCGTATCGTGACAGGTTCTGCTGTACTTCTCACTGCGGGGTCCTTCCTCTTCCTTGGTTCAGGGCGATGAACAAACAGTCTCACCTGTCAAGTTTTACCCTTTTCAAAACAAAACTCTAAACACATATGTTTAAATCTGCCTACAACCTCTGATTTTATTGAACTGTTTCTCTCTGTTTTTTTTCTTGTTTGGGTTTTATTATTGTTTTATTGTATTTTATTACGTGTTTTCTGTCAAGTGACCTGAAAGGCGCTTTTAAATAAAATGTATTATTATTATTATTATCACCTTGCCTCGCCTAGGCTTAGTAAACTGTCCCTCCTCAACATGTGCCTGTAGAGTGGTGTATTAGTTTATTTCCTGCCACATTTAACAGTTTAATTGCAGCCTTGTGCAGTTGAGAGCAGAACATGTCGAGCCTTGATAGAAAACATTTGAGAGTGCACGTTAAACTCTCTGCACACAGCTTTTTGTTATTGTGATCTCTGGTCATGGTGAGGTTGCTCCTGCTGACTTGAGCCAACCATTTTCTTCTTCTCTCTGCGTCTTTGGGGAAGCCATAATTCTGATTCCTCCCTCAGACCGATTGCTGTATGCAGCACAGCCAACCATGTAGAATATTCAGCCTAGAAAGGGATTATTAAAATACTATTTTTGTACATATAGAAATTTTGAACTAAACCAAAAATATAGGAATGTAAAATTACATTTTAAATTTTATCCAACCCTAAAATAAATAATTTCAAATTTTAACCCACGGACACATTTTATTTTAATAAAAAACAAAATAAAGTTATTCAAAAGGGTTTCATTAGGTGTTGAGTACATTACTCATAATGAATGATTCCGCTTATTTCCACATATGTAATGATTAAACATAATGTTGGTAAAATGCTTTATTAAACATGCTTTTATACATGTTGTACAAGTTTGGTGTTCATTTTTTCACCATTAACACTTTTTCATCTACCGTGTTTGACCATACAGTTTTATTGAAGTTTTCTTTTTATTTAGTTGCCATTAGTCAGGCTATAGAAGCCAGATAAACTGGGTTATAGATGCATGTACTGTCTTCACATAAAAATATAAAGTAATGACTGTAAAATGTATTCTACTGAACATAATAGATCATCATTCAAAGCATAAACAGCTGCATGTTTTCTTCAAGGTAAGCTGGAGCAGAATTCTAGCTTTCAATAAACACTTTAAAATGGATATTACAACTCGAGTTTAGGGCTTCTTGTAGGACTTAAAGTTATTAAACATGCTTATATTAGAGCAGTGTGTTGAAGAAGAAGAAAATACCATTTCTATAGCGCCTCTCAAGATAAAAATCACGAGGCGCTTGTGTGTACGGAAGCTCTAATTTCCCCCTGGGATTAATAAAGTATCTTTGAATTTAATTGAATTGAAGAACCATCCCCATCCCTCATGGCCACTCACACGCCATCTTGTCGCTGGGCACAAACCGAATCTCTGTGATTGCTCCATCCTCATCGTCGTCCTCTTGTTGCATTACTACATCAGATTTATTGCTATAGTATATTATAGTAATGTATGTGGTCTAAATGTGTTCTACAGTGTGTTAGGACTGTCGTGTTCCTGTAATGTCGAACAGTCGCGGGTGTCTGTCTTCCTACAAAGGAAAAATAAAAAGGGTACTTTGTGAAGGAATTAGGACATAATATATAATATAATATGTAATATTATTCAATAATTACCAAAAATTGCCAGGGGAAATGTGATGATATTCAATTTTTGTGATTTGTCCCACCATACATCGTTCAAACGGACTCACGGCGCAATTTTCCAATCGTGAGAGCCCTTCCAGCCAATCAGAGGCGAGAAAGGCGGGACCTTCCTTGGAAATCCTACGATTCCAAATCATGCTCACTGGGCATCTACGTATGGCCTTCAAACGTACGCACATACCTTTCTTTACATGAATACTAAAGTTACGTAGGAACTAAGCCATCCAACTTCGACCTGATGGGTCACGTGAGCTTTTAACGTGCGGAATAAACCGCGAGATTTCAGCTTGACGTAGGCCGAGCGGCGGGAACAGTTGGCTAACAATATTCTTTTTTGGTTACAATCGTCTATGATGCTTTTCGGAGTCCCTCACATTTACTCTTAAACTCCGGGGGAAAGCGGCAAAGTGCGGAGGCTGTTTTTCCTTCTTCGGCTTTCTGGGACACGTTTATTTAGAAATTCTCGTGTTAAATTAGCCAGATTTGTAGCTGACACAGCTTTCTGTCAACAGCGGCTCGTGCTTTGTCACAGCTAGCTAGCTAGCTGTTATCTGGACCATGGTTGTGCTGAAAAGTCTCCACCCTCCTACCGAGGGAGTGCGACACCAGCAGGCGGACACCACGGCGGAGCTGGACGGCCTGAAGCTGGGTTGCGGGACGCTGTGTGTGGCCGAAACGTGAGTGAAGCATGTGGTGGTTCTTAGTCGTCCTGGAGGAGCCTTGTTTCAGTGTAATGAAGCTAAACCACAAAACTACAAGTTAGAAATACCAGAAGCTTAATAAAACACCTGGTTTGTTTTGGTTTGACCTGTTTATCTTCTCCGCGTGTCTGGGATTTGTGTTATATTTATATCTCCATGTGTTCATGATCAGTTTGGATAAATAACCGCGATGTGACATTTTATTCTCACACTACCCTACTCGTGTTTTTATTTATTAGCATTGCAAGTCATGAAGTGCGTGAGAGCTTCTGGTGTTCAGCCTGCGCCTCTCAGCTGGCTCTTTTGTCTTGTAGACGCCTGTTGTGGTTCGATGACTCGAGGAAGGGCTTCTCTCTGGAGTATCCATCGATCGGTCTACACGCCATCTCCAGAGACGTCTGCTCCTACCCCCAGGAACACCTCTACGTCATGGTGAACGGCAAAGTCGGCGGTAAGAGGAGCTGTGTGGATTCAGGATCCAGACTCTGTTACCTAAAGCTAGACCTGATTACATGGTTGTTGGTTTTCTAATGCGTCCATCGCAGATGAGAATGAGACAGAGATGGGTGCTGCTGATGATGATGACGACAGCAGCAAAGAGGACGACGATGAGGATGGAGCAATCACAGAGATTCGGTTTGTGCCCAGCGACAAGACGGCGTGTGAGTGGCCATGAGGGATGGGGATGGTTCTTCAATTCAATTCAAAGATGCTTTATTAATCCCAGAGGGAAATTAGAGTTTCAGTACACACAATTCTGAGATCAGACATACATTCATAGACACACTGTGGTCATTTGCAACCCGAGTCGCGCTACCTTAATAGAGATCAGAGGGTTCATATGAGGATTGGTTCAAGTGGAGGAAAAAAAGGCGCTTCAGAGTTACCCTCCACAGGGAGGGCAGCTTTGCTCTGCAAAAAACACCTCAGACAGAAATGCAACAGACTTCCGACATTACACAACATAAGTGTCCACTAGGTGGGGTGGTAGGGTTGGGGACTCTCCTCACATCAGTGCGTGCAGCCACGATAAGCAGCGCTCATCACCTCCGTTTGGACAGGGGAGGGAGGTCGTTGGGTTTAGAGAGCACAGTGACTCCTGGAAACAATTCCACGGCCTTCACCGGTCACAGTCCCGCCCAGGCTGGGATAGGGAGACAGAGTTGCCATGGCGACGGCAGCATTCCACATTTCTTCTGAGGGGGAGTAATCACTTCAGCCTCACAGGCACAAGGGCACCAGATTCAGATAAGAACTTGTTTTGGGGACAGACAGAGATAATTTCCTCTCTGCCTTAGTGTTCTGTTGGTCTCCAACCCCTCTAGATCCAATAATGGTGTAATTAATCTATCCCAGTCCGTGCTGATCCGTCCACTCTCTCCTTGATGGAATCCACCTTCTGTGCCAGAGCCTGAATCTCAGCCAAAGTTCCAAGCTTACGACTCATCTCGACAATTATATGAGTTAGTGCGTTCACAGCGCGGTGTAATCCATCCCTGAGCTCCGGGATTGAGCCAAAATTCCTCGACAGCTCATTAATTTTCCGGTAAGCCAGGTAACCACTCAGGCCGAAGAGCAGGAATCCCGACACCAACACCACGAATATCCACACGTCTTCAGAATCCTCTACAGACAGCTGAGAGAGGCAGATCAGGTCCCACTGTTTCCAGGAGTCCATGATATACCCAGCTGGCTCTGTCCCAGAGGGGCAGCCGGGAGCCCCTTCTCCCGTTCTCATCGTTGAAAAATGTTGTCAATCGCGTTGAGAGACCAACTGACCAGGTCCACTTTAATAATTTCCAGTTTCCAGAAAAAATGCAGAAGCACCGTCCACCCAGAGACAGACAAAGAGCCTTGGGTTAAGATGGGGAGGAGAGTAGGACTAAAGCGTCTGTAATCTCCAAGAGCCGGGAGAAGAGTTGTGTTACTACAAGATCTTTGATCCACACTCCAGCTGCCATATTGGAAAGGATTCATGCAAACATAATGGTTATAAATGGATCTACTGACACATTTAATAATCACACGATCATAAACAAAGACAGGAGCACAAAAGTGAGCCTGATTTGGTGTAGCTTTGGTTAACTAATTAGTTACTAACTTTAACCAGCTGATCAGCTTGTTAACCGGTTAGCATGTAGGTTTAGTCCTAAGACTGATCGTTTTATCAGCTTCAGACAGACTGATCTGCTTCAGCTGTGTTTTACACAACAAGGGCATAAAGCTGCAGGAGTGACTAAAGAGTGATATTAATACAAACCTTTAACTAACTATAAGTATCGGGTGGGAACGAGGGAACTGTACAGCACAGATTTAATACATACTGTAGGGAGCCTAAGCCACGCCCATCTACTTCCGGACCAACGGCGCTAAAACGCTGTTTTATAATTCTGCTTGTTATGTGCTGCAGGTTTCACATACGATGTCCGTGAATTTTAAGTCGTGTTGATACCAAGAAGACTTATTTTCTAACAGGGGAAACGATATTTTAGGCTTTGTTTGAAAATAAGTCCAGGACTACAAATGCGCTTCACACAAGTGCTAACAGCAAACTTTTGCAAGCTGATGAATCTCAAAGTGCGTGACTGGCGTGGTGGAAACCCCATCATTACTTTTCATTTAAATGTAAGTACAACATGTGATCCAGGGCGTGAGGCAAAGCGGGTTAGAAAATATTCTTTTAGCCCCGTTGACTAGCTTTTATTTTCCGTTCTTCCGGGGACCCGTGAGCCGACCAGAAAGGGAGGAGACTTCGGCTCCCTATTGAGCCTTTTATAACAAGAGTCTGACTTTTCAGCCTCGTCATTTTGTTGTTTTATTTCATATTTTTAGCAGCAGACCACGGTCTTGTTTCACTTGAAACATTCAAATATTAAAATATCTAATAGCTGGAGCCCCATTTTAACCCTTTAACAGAAAAACCAACGAAGAAGACACAAAAACAACCTGCACCAAGCCAAGGTACGTCTGAGAAGGTACAAGTTTATAAATACAACACGGTGGTGTACTTGAACAAGTCACTGAGCGATCATTACGTTCTTGTGAACGTAAACCAAACTCACATATTTAGCCTGATAAATAATAAGGTGAGCGCTCATTCTGGCGTGTGAACGGGTTTGGGAACACTCCAGATCTCCACGGGGCTAACGCCTTAGCTAAAACATCCTGGTTACCATACAGTTCATAAAAAGTAGACCAAACCGTAGCGATCAGCGTGGCGTCTACTCTTCTGTGTCTGTGCTGTTGAGGATGGACCTCTGTAATAAACAGATCTACACTAACCTGAATAAAAGAAAACGTTCTTTTAGGAATGACACTGACAAGAACGTCTGAAGATATTTCAGAATCAGCTTTATAGTAACGTACAGTGGGGCAAAAAAGTATTTAGTCAGCCACCGATTGTGCAAGTTCTCCCACTTAAAATGATGACAGAGGTCAGTAATTTACATCATAGGTACACTTCAACTGTGAGAGACAGAATGTGAAAAAAATCCATGAATTCACATGGCAGGATTTTTAAAGAATTTATTTGTAAATCAGGGTGGAAAATAAGTATTTGGTCACTTCAAACAAGGAAAATCTCTATCTCTCACAGACCTGTAACGTCTTCTTTAAGAAGCTTTTCTGTCCTCCACTCATTACCTGTATTAATGGCACCTGTTTGAAGTCATTATCTGTGTAAAAGACACCTGTCCACAGCCTCAAACAGTCAGACTCCAAACTCCACTATGGCCAAGACCAAAGAGCTTTCGAAGGACACCAGGAAAAGAATTGTAGACCTGCACCAGACTGGGAAGAGTGAATCTACAATAGGTAAGCAGCTTGGTGTGAAAAAATCAACTGTGGGAGCAATTATCAGAAAATGGAAGACATACAAGACCACTGATAATCTCCCTCGATCTGGGGCTCCACGCAAGATCTCATCCCGTGGGGTCAAAATGATCATGAGAACGGTGAGCAAGAATCCCAGAACCACACAGGGGGACCTGGTGAATGACCTGCAGAGAGCTGGGACCACAGTAACAAAGGTCACCATCAGTAACACACTACAACGGCAGGGAATCAAATCCTGCAGTGCCAGACGTGTTCCGCTGCTGAAGCCAGTGCATGTCCAGGCCCGTCTGAAGTTTGCCAGAGAGCACATGGATGATACAGCAGAGGATTGGGAGAATGTCATGTGGTCAGATGAAACCAAAGCAGAACTTTTTGGTATAAACTCAACTCGTCGTGTTTGGAGGAAGAAGAATACTGAGTTGCATCCCAAGAACACCATACCTACTGTGAAGCATGGGGGTGGGAACATCATGCTTTGGGGCTGTTTTTCTGCTAAGGGGACAGGACGACTGATCCGTGTTAAGGACAGAATGAATGGGGCCATGTATCGTGAGATTCTGAGCCAAAACCTCCTTCCATCAGCGAGAGCTTTGAAGATGAAACGTGGCTGGGTCTTCCAACACGACAATGATCCCAAACACACCGCCCGGGCAACAAAGGAGTGGCTCCGTAAGAAGCATTTGAAAGTCCTGGAGTGGCCTAGCCAGTCTCCAGACCTCAACCCCACAGAAAATCTGTGGAGGGAGTTGAAAGTCCATGTTGCTCGGCGACAGCCCCAAAACATCACTGCTCTCGAGAAGATCTGCATGGAGGAATGGGCCAAAATACCAGCTGCTGTGTGTGCACACCTGGTAAAGACCTATAGTAATCGTTTGACCTCTGTTATTGCCAACAAAGGTTATGTTACAAAGTATTGAGATGAATTTTTGTTATTGACCAAATACTTATTTTCCACCCTGATTTACAAATAAATTCTTTAAAAATTCTGCCATGTCAATTCATGGATTTTTTTTCACATTCTGTCTCTCACAGTTGAAGTGTACCTATGATGTAAATTACTGACCTCTGTCATCATTTTAAGTGGGAGAACTTGCACAATCGGTGGCTGACTAAATACTTTTTTGCCCCACTGTACGTGAGTGAGACTCGCGCTACCAGGAATCTGCTCTGGTGGTTGTTTAATTACATGCACTGGTGTTGGTCAGCGTGTTTAAGTCCTTATAAGATCTACTTTTGTTTTTTGAGATTGTAACAAACTTTTTAGGCGGTGCATCACGACCTACGACCTTCATAGCACCAGTGCTATAAGTTAAAGATGTTAGCGTACAGCCCTGTAGGTGGTTACACTCCAAGTGTCACGCTGATGTATCCACAACACCTGCAGAGGGTTCCTGAGCCTGTAGATGGTTTCTCAGTCTGAGCTAGTTTACTGACATAAATGCACTTTTCCACCTCATTCTAGATTTTATTGTTTCACTTAAAAGTTTAAGCTCCACCTCCAGCTAGGGTTGGGTGAAATATTCGACCATTGGTGATAGGCTGAGCCGTTATGCTTGTTTTCACATGTGGCGATTTGTCTCGTTTTTGTTGGGCAGTGCGTAACTTAATGACTCGTGCGGGTGTGCAAATATTTTACATTTTACGCACAAACAACAATCTCAGAGGGAAAAGATCTCCATCTGAGCACTATCTCACTCTTTCTCCTCATCTTGCCGCTGATGGTGTGAGTAAGCGGCGTGCTGAGGAGAAGCTCGGAGCGCGTGGCCCACTCCACATTGTGCACAAGAGCACAATGTGGAGAAACCTTGTACCTTTCAGAGAGGCAGGT